TTAGGGTAAAGGGCTTGGGGTTCAGGGTTCAGGCGTTCTTTAAAGGTTTGTTACCTTTTCTAGAAGGAGTTTTGGAAGGGTTCTGTTGCTGTTCCGTGAAAGGTTTTATAGGGGTTCTATAAGTTTGAGCGTTTGATTCGTTTTTTGCTAGGAAACAACCCTCCCCTGAGCTTGAATTAGCATAGAGTCTCCGGAAGCTCTTAGATGTTCCATGTTCGTGTAGCCGGGCTTACGTGTGGGTGTTTGGGTCACGGGTTCGGTATGTGTGTGAGTATAATATATATGTATATATATATATATATATACATATATATATGTAGATATGTACTAATACTCACATCTGCATGTATATACACTGATATACACATACATATCATGTATGTTTATATACATATACATTCCAGCTGCAGATGTTTAGGTGTCCGAGCTGTTCTACGATGTGAGCATTCAGACGGTGACGGAGACGAGCTTCATACAGAGACTGCCGCGACCTTGGTGAGGAGTAGATACGATACGTGCGCATGAGTGCACTATTAGCTTGCTATCATAGGCGCCTTAATAATTACCTATACTATTTTGCGCGTTTCTTGCCATATCTATAAACTATAGTAGAATGGGCCCCAAAACCCTATTCTAATTATTTAGGCCCCTATATTATACTTATTCGGTCGCGGCACCTGCTTCTGCATCATTCCGACCCAAAGGCACGGCATTTCCTCCGGCATCCCCTGCTTGAGCAAGCCCTAAGGGTCCATGTACCCAAATAGGGTCACTCATACGGATACCTGGACCCTTGGGGAAGTGGCTAATTCTGATGTAGTTGCTGTGTTTTCTTGTGCCCGGTACATTAGCTTGCTGGCCCTGCCCGTGATATTCACCACCGCCGTCGGCTCCCGCCCGACAGGTGTCGGTGCCTCAACTTGCTAGATATACCAGTTACCTGACTGAAGACTGCGCTGATCCCAACAAAGGCCCTCTGATCTTTAAAATAGCTGTACCGACTGTGGGCCTGGGCCTCACGATCATCCAGCAGCCCAGCATAGCTAAGAGCCCTAACTTAACTGAAGCAAGATGTCGTCATCGGTGTCCACGACTCATGAGAGCGGCCACAAATTTTCCACGCACAGCTATCCCACTGTACCACTAAGCATTCTGTTGCCTTACAAATACAAGTGCCCCAAGCGAGGTTCGAGGTTTATGTTTTAGGATTTTTAGACTGCAACTGCCCAGTGCCCCATTCCCTGGATTTGGATGATTTGGATGATTTGGATTCCCTAACCCTAAACCCTAAACCGGCTCGTTAAGCAACAAATACCCTGGGCCGTGAAAGCGTCACCGTGAGTGAACTTGAGGGCCTGTGGAAGCATTCCCGAGGGCTTGCCACGTGTCAGAGACTCCCATGTAGGGCACCCTGAAGAACCTACCTTTTTAGGGTTCCCTAACATGGATTCCCTATATAAGTCCTTAAAAAGGTAGGTTCTTTGGGGTTAAGGTAGGGTTTAGGGTTCAGGACCCCTAAACGTGCAAGTGGCAAGTTACACATCCGACAGCAAGACACCTTGAACGAGTCCAGGAAGACGTGCTTCCCAGAGCTCAAGTACCTGGATGGCGACGACCCCGGCGTCCCAGAGCCGCTTGCCGGAGAACCACCGATCGAGGTGTGGCCTAAACACTGACCCTAAAGTCTAAACCAAGAACCCTACACACCGAAACCAAAACCCCTAAACCCACAAAGGCTTCAGCATCTAAGCTTGTTGGTCCTGAGTGGGAGATACAAATTCTAGGGCTTGTTTGGGTTCAGAGGTTGGGACTAGGGTTGAGTTCAAAGGTTACCTTAACACCAAATAACCTACCTAGTTAAGGCCTAATAAAAGGAATTCCTACTAAGGGAACCCTATAAAGGTAGGTTCTTAATTGGAGGGTCGGGGGACTTAGTAAGTAGACCTACAAGTATCAGTCCCTCTTAGGTTACTTATAAGTCTACTCATTACCTACTTACTAAGCCCCCCGACCCTCCCAGTAGGGTCCAGGTAGGCTTTGCCGTGCTTAACTTTATTAGCCCTGGGTTCGGTTTAGGGTCCGAGGTTTAGGGTTCAGAGGTTGGGAATCGAACTTCGGGCTTCAGCGTGAGATTCGGGTTTCAGAGGTTAAGGGTTTAGGGTGGATTGGGTTTAGGGTTTTGGGTTCAGAGGTTTATGTATAGGGCTTAGAGGCTATATAAGTCATAACTTTCAGGGTTTCGAGGTTGACGCTCAGCGGCACATTCACGCCGGAGGGGTGGGGTGTAGAGCGATACTGTAGATTGTTCCGGTGCTGCGTGCTTCGGGTTCGAACCTCAGGCCTTTCAGGTTTAGGGTTTAGGGTTTCTTCAAAGTAACAAAACTCCGGTCAAGCTGTGTTAGGAGAAAGTAAAGTCCCCACCAGGTCTCCAATAACTCGTGTTTCGTATGGGTTCATTGGTTATGAATTATAAGCACCCCCTGACGACATCCCAAACCCGAGATTCTAAGCCCTACTAGGCTTTGCAACACAAACTTTGAAGCACGAGCCTTCAAATCTTCTTCTAATCTCGATGTAGCACCCAGAGAGCCCACTACCCCTTAAAGAAGGAATACAGTTTAAACTAGAATATGAAGCCCCTTATAATTTGAGCTATATTCCCTATTTCAGGGGGCATGGCCGAGCTACAAGCTCCACGCTCCAGGCTCCAAGCCACTGAAAACCTAGTCCCTAGAGAGCAGCCATAAGCCCTAAACCCATCTAAACCCTAAATCCTAAACCCGAGACCCAAAACCCAAAAAGCTCAAATGTTCCGCGGGCCGAAGGTTTAGGGCTTGGGGTTGAGGGTGTTTTGGGTTTCGAGTTTAGGGCTTGTTGTTTAGGGTTTAGGGCGTCAGGATCTGCGCTTGTGCTCCCTCAACCCCAAACCCTCAGCCCTCATCTACCAGTGTTTTGGTGACAAGGGTTTTTGCGAATGATATATTGAATCAGTCAGGCTCCTACACCACGCTGCAGCTGGCTAAATGCCCCGCCGAACATAGAAGCCTGAATACATAGCCGTGTCAGTTTGCGCACAGGTACGCATCCTTAAAGACGAAATATGAACCCTAAAAGGGCTTCAGGTTCATATACCATATAAGGCATCATAGTATAAGGGTCCATAGGGCCAATACTTTTTAAGGACGAGTGGAGAACTCCCTGTAAAGCAGGGGCGATGGTGCAGGAAGTTGCCATAGCTTTGGCAAAAGATGCAGACGAAACGGCTCTCTTTCGAAGGGGAAGCGAGCACTGCCCACAAGGGTGGCGTCGGGGAAGCCTTCCGCTGGCAGACGAGAACCGAGACTGGGGAACTGTCATGCTTTATATATATATATATATAAATGATATCATATTATGTAATACTATACTATACTTTATAATATGATCTTATATTGTATTGCCACACGAAGTGGTTCGAAAGAAACCCATCTGGTCTCTTTTCATGCTGAAGCACACGGGTGCCGGAGCCTCATCGGACCCTGTCCGGCTGTTCCGAGACCGCGGGCCGGCTGTGCGCAAGCAGGCGAAGGGCAAGAAGAGCGGCGGTGGCAAAGGGAACTTGGAGGATCTTGGGACTTAGTAAGTAGGGCTACAAGTACCTTAATTGGGGTTATAAGTAAGTATGAGTATTTAGTTACAGTATAGTTACCTTATATATAACCTCAGTTACTACGTCCCATGATCTTTTAAGAAGGGTGGCGCGGACGCGAAAGTGGGACGGGGGGCAGGGGTTGGGATTCAACAGCACCAGTATGTAGCCAGCTTGGCAAGAGCACTAGGACCGCTAGGACACATTACATGAAACAGATCTGTCATGTCCAGGGTTACTACAGGAGCCTGAATAATTACCTATACTATTTTTTTTGGGGGTGGTCCTTATTATAGTTAAAGTTTAATATACCCCAAGACCCTATTCTACTTATCAAGGCCCCTACATTATTATCGCTGCAACAGTGACGACGGATGACCCTCCTATCGGCAGACCTCGGTGTCCGGACAGTCCCTACGTGGGGCTCCTCCT